TTTTTTTTTTTTTTTTTTTTTAATTTCCAATTCCATTTTAAAGGTAAATTCATTAGATTTAAATCCATTAGATTTTAATAATCAAAAGGATTATCTGGATTCTGTGTTTATGATTTAATACAAATTTATTATTTAAAATGATGGTTATCAAATGCATAAAACTGAACAATTTAATTAATCTTTTAAAATGTAATCAAATCAAATGCTGGACAACAGAGGTGTATTAATTAAATTAAAATTAATACATGAATAAAAATGTTGTAATATTCCATAAATAAAATATCCAAAATTATTATTTTTATTATTAATATGTACTATTAAAATTAATTTTTACTAATATTCACATTGCAATTTGACTTTGATTAATAGTGCATCCCTACTTTTGCTTTATTAATATTTAATAAATAATGTATAAAATTAATGCATTTACGTTCTCATTTATACATTTGGCAAGTGACTTGCTTGACATTTTGTCAGTTAAAAAAAATTATTAATAATAATTTATTAACTTACTAATATACATTTTTGATTTATGAATCCAAAATTTGCATTATTTGTATCTACACTTTGTACACTACACTTGATTTTGATGGCTGGATTTGACGATTGTGCCCTGTGTTTGTTTGTCTCTCGTAGAGTCGGTGTGTCTCTCTGATGATGTGGATCTGAAGCCGGAGGTGGCCTTTATTTCTCCTCCTCCGTCAGATTCGGGCTCCAGCTCTCCTCCTCAGCTCTCGCCCTTCTGCATCGACTCGGAGCCTGGCAGCCCGCTGCTGGAGCACGAGACGGTGAGAGACACAGGCCCCACCCCCTCATTTCATATGCATATCAGAGCACAGCCTCCACCCTCTCTTTTCATTTTCAATGCACAGCACAGACCCCGCCCCCTCGATTAATCTAAACAGAGCACAGACCCCGCCCCCTCACTTCATATTCATATCAGAGCAGGGCGGTCCGTCTGATGTGTGTGTGTTTCAGGTGAAGAGCGAGCCGGACTCGCCGTCGTCGGTGGGAGTGATGGACCGCTCGCGTCTGCTGCTCTGCACGCTCACCTTCCTCTGTCTGTCGCTCAACCCTCTGCCGTCTCTGCTGGAGTCAGAGGAGAGCGCCGGGCTGACGGCAGCACACGGATCCTCGCGCTCGCTCTTCTCGCTGCCCACGCAGAGCTTCGGTGAGTCACATGACCCGCTCACGGGATCACATGATCGCGTGATCCGCTGTGACGCTAACGTCACGTGTGTGTCTCTCCATCCGTCAGGGGCGTGGCTGTGGTGCGTGTTGCCGTGGTTCCTGGTGTGGGTCCTGAGTGGGGTGGGTGTGGTCTGGGGGTGTGTCCGTGTGCTGTACCTGTGGGAGCCGGTCACGCCCCTTCACTCGCCCACCTCAGTGCGCTTCTGGAGACACCGCAAACAGGCTGACCTGCAGCTGTACCGGGTAAACACACACACAATCACACACATACACACTCACTCACAATCACACACACACACACACACACACACACACACACACACACACACA